TGTCCCTCAGCTCTTCAGCACAAGGCAAGCGCTCTACCACTTGAGCCACAGCACCACTTCCAGTTTTCTGGTGTTCATTGGAGATAAGAGTCTCACGGAAGTTTCCTGCCTGGGCTGGCTTTAAACTGCGATCCTCGGATCTCAGCCTCCTGAGCGCTGGGATTACAGGCGTGAGCCGCCGCTCCCAGCTTGACTCTTCTTCTGACAGATGCTGACCATTACTTTGGATGAGAGTGACTGCTTTGCTGCATGGGTATCCGCGAAAGATGCCGGCTTCAGCAGCCCTGACGGCTCGGATCCAAAGTGTAAGCTGTGTCTCTGCTTCTTTCTCCCACGAGTACACGGATCTGTGTTACCCACAACTATGTACCTGATCTTCGTGATTGGCCCTTGAAATTTGCCATAATCTGTTGTCAGTAGGCTTCTGGAAAGAATATGCTAGGTAAGAAATAAGTATTCAGAGTGTTCAGCCATTTTAAGAGGTTTTCTGTAGAAGTGGACCTACCATGTTCCTTGCTGGGCATGGTGGTGGATGCCTGTAATCCCGGCCTTAAGAGGCAGAGGCAAGGGGAACTGGGAGTTCCAGGTCAGCCCCAGATACACAGCAAAACCCCGCCTTTAAAAAAGAAATAACAAGAAAAAACCTGGCACTTGACATGTGCAGAAACTTTATATTGCTTTCTTCCACACCACAACCCGCCGACTGGCATTTCTGTTGTCTTCCCCGCGTGGTAGTGAACCTGGGTGGGCTGCTGCTGCAGGCGCTCCTCGAGTGCTGGCCTCGGACACACGCGAACCCAGTGGATGAGGAGGAGAACGAGGTCAGCCACGGTGAGTGTGTCAGCACACACCAACGTGAAACTCACCCAGAGCCAAAGCGTGGCAGCTCACGCCGGTAATCCCAGCTGCTCAGGGGAGGAAAAACGTTGGGAAAATAATCGGGCAAGCTTTGAAGCCTTTAGAAACGAAATGTGTATAGAGCCTTGTTTTTATTTTTTTATGCCAGTCCTGGGGCTTGAACCCAGGGCCTGGGCACTGTCCCTGAGCCTCATTTTGCACAAGGCTGGCGCTCTACCACTTGAGCCACAGCGCCACTTCCGGCTTTTTCTGTGTATGCGGTGCTGAGGAATCGAACCCAGGGCTTCATGCTTGCTGGGCGAGCACTCTACCACTGAGCCACCTTCCCAGTCCCTATTTATTTTTATGCCGATGCTGGTGCTTAGTCTTAGGACCTGGGCACACTGTCCCTGACTTGGTTGTCCAAGACTCTCCCACTTGAGCCACACCTCCACTTATAGTTTTCGGGGTTCCTTGGAGATGAGTGTCTTGTGATTTGTGTGCCCAGGCTGGCTGTGCACTGGGATCCTCAGGGCTCAGCCTCCTCAGTAGCTGAGATGTCAAGGGAGCCGCAGGCTGGGAGTCTGGGTGCTGCTGGTGTGCAGCGCGGGTGAGCGCTAACCCTCGCGGCCTCTGCTTGTAGTGAACGGGGAGCCGGAGGCCCGCGTGCAGAAGGGCAACGGGTACTTCCAGGTGCCGCCCCACACCCCCGTGATCTTCGGCGAGGCTGGAGGCCGCACCCTGTTCAGGTAGGGACAGGACCACGGCAAGTCCCAGCAGCCTGGCTAGAGCCCCCCACTTCTGCCCAAAAGCATCGGCCCGGACACATGGGAGAACGCGGGAAGGTAGAGAACTGGGGAGGCCGGCGCTGGTTCAAACCCCAAGATCACCAGCCAAAGAAAAAGTTCTGCTCTTCTAACTCCCTGCGGGAGTTAAGTCAGGAAGTCGTCCCTGGGGTTAGGATGAGCTAAGGCCGCGCCTCCAGCCAGCCCCGGGTGGCCAGCATCCAATCAGGCCGGGCTGCACGCAGTGGGAACAGCTACAGAGCGGACCGCTTCCCCGCGGCCAATCAGCTGGGAGGGGCGGGGCTGCACGTGGGAACCACTACAGAGTGGACCGCTTCCCCGCGGCCAATCAGCTGGGAGGGGCGGGACTGCATGTGGGAACCGCTACAGTGGACCGCTTCCCCGTGGTCAATCAGGCGAGAGGGGCGGGGCTGCACGTGAGAACTGCTACAGAGTGGACCGCTTCCCCGCGGCCAATCAGCTGGGAGGGGCGGGGCTGCACGTGGGAACCGCTAGAGTCTCCTCGCGGCCAATCAGGCAGGGGGGCGGGGCTGAGCGTGGGCTCGCTGTGGAGTGGGCCACTTCCTCGCCGCTAATCAGGCGGGAGGGGCGGGGCTGAGCGTGGGAACCGCTGTGGAGTGGACCACTTCCTCGCCGCCGATCAGGCAGGGGGCGGGGCTGAGCGTGGGCTCAATGTGGAGTGGACCACTTCCTCGCCGCCAATCAGGCAGGAGGGGCGGGGCTGAGCGTGGGAACCGCTGTGGAGTGGACCACTTCCTCGCCGCCAATCAGGCAGGAGGGGCGGGGCTGAGCGTGGGAACCACTGTGGAGTGGACCACTTCCTCGCCGCCAATCAGGCGGGAGGGGCGGGGCGGCACTGGCCTGGCCTCCGGTGGGCGCCAGCCCCTGAAAGAGAGGGCTTTGTCTGGCGCGCCTCCAGGCCTGCGTTCCAGCCCTGAGCCAGGTACAAGGGACAGACAGCCGTGGTGTATAGTCAGGGAGTTAGCCTGTCTCCCGCGAGGCAGGTCACGTGGGTGGGCAGGCGGCGACCTCTGACCCCCGACCCCCGCCGGTCGACTGCAGGCTGCTCTGCCGGGACTCGGGTGGCGAGACGGAGTCCATGCTGCTCAACGAGACGGTGCCGCAGTGGGTGATCGACATCACGGTGGATGTAAGCGCCCGCGGGGGCCGGCGGAGGGGGGGGAGGTGGCCGGGCTCTGTGCACTAAGGCGCGCGGGTCCCCGCCGTGCTGGCTGTGGACGGGAAGCTCATTTTCGCGTGGGGAGGGATTCTCGGTAAACCACGCGCCGTGACGGCGCTGCAGCGCGTCCAGACAACGGTCCTTTCCAACTTCTTGACGTTTCAGAAAAATATGCCCAAGTTCAACAAAATTCCTTTCTACCTCCAACCGCAAGCATCTTCGGGCGCAAAAACCTTAAAAAAGTAAGTAACACCCCGCCGTCACCCCCAGCTCCTCGGGAGGCGGAGATCGGAGGATCGTGGTTCAAAGCCAGCCCGGGCAGGAAGGTCCGTGAGACTGATCTCCAATGAACTCACAAAACTGGAAGTGGCCCCGTGGTTCAAGTGGTAGAGCGCCAGCCTTGAGCTGGAGAGCTGAGGGACAGCGCCCAGGCCCAGAGTTCAGGCCCCATGACCAACGACAAAAGAGAATAAAATCCAGAGGCTATTGTGTATTGGCTTCAGAAATAACAAGAACACAAGTGTGATCCCGTTTAGTTAGATAGAATTGATCTTGGCGGCTTTGTGCTGGTCTTCATGGTATGTCTGAGCTTTAGATGTTAACACCAAAGAAAAGTAATCCCGGACGAGAAGACAATATATATATTTAACATATTACATATATGGCTTATATATTTGTTATGTAAGTATGACGTGCATAAAATATGCATAAACGTTTTTCCTAACGTCCCCGTCGCCCCGCAGAGACCGGCTGTCAGCCAGCGACATGCTGCAGGTGCGCAAGATCATGGAGCACGTGTACGAGAAGATCATCAACCTGGACAGCGAGTCCCAGACCACCAGCTCATCCAACAACGAGAAGACGGGGGAGCAGGAGAAGGAGGAGGACCTCGCCGTGCTGGCCGAGGAGAAAATCGAGCTGCTGTGCCAGGACCAAGTGAGTGGGGGGAGCGCCGGTGCCCCGCTTCCGCAGGGAGCAAGCCGCGCGTGCGTGAACGCACACGTGCCGGCTGCTCAGGGCGCTGGGAGCCGGAGGATCGCAGGAGTCCATGAGACTCCTTGTATCTCCAGGGAGCCAGCAAAAAGCCAAAGTGGCGCTGTGAATCAAGTGGTAGAGCACCATTCTTGAGCCAAAGGGCGTAGGGACAGCCCAGGTGCTGAGCTCCAGACCCGGGACTGGTGTGTGTGTGTGCGCGCAGTGCGCACACGTGCAGAGGCCCCTCCCGCCGTGTGGGGGCGGGGCCAGCGGAGGGGGCGGGCGGCACGCGGGGCGGGGCCAGCAGGGGCGGAGCTGCGGAGGGGGTGGAGCAGCAGAAGAGGCGCGCTGGGCGGGGCCGGAGGGGGCGGGGCCAGCGGGGGCGAAGCAGCAGAGGCGCGGGGCGGGGCCGGTGGGGGGCGGGGCCAGCGGGGGCGGAGCAGCAGAGGCACGGGGCGGGGGCGGGGGGCGGGGCCGGCGGGGGCGGGGCCGGCGGGGTGGGGCGGGGCCGGCGGGGCGGGGCCGGCGGGCGGGACGCGGCCCTGAGACGCTCTCTGGCGCGGCTGCGCAGGTGCTGGACCCGAACATGGACCTGCGCACGGTGAAGCACTTCGTGTGGAAGAGCGGCGGCGACCTCACCCTGCACTACCGTCAGAAGTGCGCCTGAGCCGGCCGCCGCCACGCACCACACGCCACGCGGGGGAAGCAGTGGCGGGGCCTCCGCGCGGGCGGCGCGGCCCGCGGAACCGGCCTGCGGGGGCGGGCCCGCGCCACGCACGCGCGGCCCCGAGAACATTCCACGGCGGGCCTCCCCCTGCCGGGCGGCCCTGCCCAACGTTTGTCATAAAAGAGAAAATGCTCAAACCCGGCGGCGTGGGCGGCTCCTTCCTCGCCCGCGGGGCGCATGCGCGCGTGTGTGCCGTGCCGTATCGCTGTGCGCATGCGCGCTGCTGGCTTCCACGCCACCGCGGCGCTGGGGGGGGGGGGGGGGGGGCGCAGCCAGGCCGGGGCGCGCGCGACGCGGTCCCCGAGGCCCCGCCAGGCCCCGCTCCGCCCGCCGCCTCTCACACCACTGCCGGGCGCGGGCCTGGGCGCTGGGCCTGGGCGCCGTCCCGCAGCTCTTCAGCTCAAGGCGGGCGCTCTACCACTGAGCCACAGCGCCGCTTGCGGCTTTCTGGTGGCTCATTGGAGATGGGAGTCTCGCAGACTTCCCTGCCCGGGCTGGCTTTGCACTGCGATCCTCGCAGCTCAGCCTCCGGAGTAGCTGGGGTGACGGGTGGGAGCCGCCAGCCCCGGGCAGGGGATGAAGAGCGAGGCCCCATCCCCGAGCTGCTCCTTCCAGAAGGTTCCACCCAGCGGAATAAAAGCCTCTCGCAGCGGTTCACGGTTTATTGTGGCCTCGTCCTCATCCAGGCCCCTCCTTCCCCTCCTCCTCCTCCGGGATCGGGCGCCGCGGGGAGCCAGAACCTTCGAGAACCTTCCAGACTGCAGCCGGCAAGGGCAGCGCCCGGGCCACCGCCCCTCACCAGGCCCTCCACGGGGAGGGGGCCCCGGGGCGCCCCAGAGCCCTCCACGGGTGGCCAGGCAGGGCCGACCCGCGAGTGCACCCCGGGGCGGGCCGAGCGTCCCGGCCCCCCTCCCTGCGGGCCTCGCGGTCAGATCCCCCGCGGGGCCTCCACAGCCGGCCCCGGCCCCGGCCCCGGCGGGCTGGGCTCCGCCGCGGCCTCCGCCGCCTCCTCCTCCTCCGCCTGCGCCTCCAGCAGCTCGGCCGACAGCCCGTCCTCCGGGGAGGCCGCGGCCGTGAGGCTGTCGGGGAGGCTCAGCCGGGGCAGATCGGCCGGGGCTGCGGCGCCTGGGCTGTCCGGGAAGGAGACCTCGAACTCCGAGCCCGACCACGTGGCCTCGCCTGCAAGAAGGAAGGAGCCAGGGCTGCTGTCATCCCGGCCGCCCTGCTCCGGAGGCGCAGATCGGAGGATCGTAGTTCAAAGCCGGCCCAGGGAGGAAAGGCCCCGAGACTCTCATCGCCCACGAACCACCAGAAAACCAGAAGTGGGGTTGTGGTTCAAAGGGTAGAGCGCCAGCCTTGAGCTGAAGAGCTGAGGGACGGCACCCAGGCCCAGAGTTCAAGCCCCACCACCGACAAAAGAGGAGGAGGGCGGAGCATGGGCCAAGGGATAACCAAGCCGTGAGTTCAAGTCCCAGTAATGGCACAAAAGTTAGAAGCGTGGGAATCAGGAGGCCTCAAAAACCTGGGACCACGGTGCTGAAGCCAGCAAAAACCCCCACCTACCCAATACCACCACCCAGGGCTTTGTTTTTGTGGGTCCCAAGGCTCAAACTCAGCCTGGGCGCTGTCCCTCAGCTCTTCAGCTCAAGGCCAGCGCTCTACCACTTAAGCCACAGCGCCACTTCCGGTTCCCTGATGGTTCACGGGAGATGAGAAGTCTCCTGGACTTTCCTGCCCAGGCTGGCTTTGAACCTCGAGCCTCAGATCTCAGCCTCCTGAGTAGCTGGGATGACAGGCGTGAGCCACCAGCGCCCAGCAAGCACCAGGCTTTGACAAGATGTGCTCCACCTGGCAAGAGGCATTTGGGGGTCCCCCTATGGGAAATCGCTGCCAAGTGGGGGGGGGGGGGCACCAAGTTCAAGTCACTTACCTAGGCGCTCATGGGAGCTGCCACTGGAGCCCACGTCCTCCCGTCCCAAGGTTGGGGGAGAGACCCGGCCCGGCCCTACACCGGCACGGCTGCTATCCAAGAGGGAGATGCCAGACACCTCCAAGAAGCCTGGGGGAGATGGACACAGTTGTTATTATTGACAGCAGGTCTGGTGGGTTTCAACTCAGGACCTGGCTGTCCCTGATTGTTTTGTTTTTTTAAATCAAGGCTGGCGCCCTACCACTTGAGCCACACCTCTACTTCCGGCTTTTTGCTGGTTCATTGGAGATAGTTTCGCGGGGACTTTCCTGCCCAGGCTGGTTTTGAACCACGATCCTCCAGATCTCAGCCTCCTGGGGAGATGGGATGACAGGCGTAAGGCTCAGTTTCAGCGTGGTGGCCAGGCAGGCCTCTTGGCTGGAAGAACTCTCTGCCTTGTTCTGGAGAAATCCACCTGATCCCACCCCCAAGGAGGCTCCGACCTCCTCCTAGGGTCGGTGTGTGCGAAGAGCCTGTGATCTGAGTCCAGTTAGTTGTGCAACTAAAGTAACCTAACCTGTCGTGCCTGGACTACAGGCGCTACGCCAGTGCCCGGCAGTGCTGTGTGAGACCAGCAAGAGGTCAATAAGACCCCTGAGCCTGCACCCCGCTTCAGTGCCGGGAATCCCAGTTGCCACCATGGGCTGACAGCTCACACCTGTCACCCTGGCCACTCAGGAGGCTGAGATTGGAGGATCGCAGTTCAAGCGCTCCAGGGCGGGAAGGTCCCTGAGTCTCCTCTCCAGTGAACCCACCAGGAAACCGGAAGTGGTGCTGTGGCTCCCACAGTAGAGTGAAAGCTCTCAGGGACAGCACCTAGCCCCGAGTTCAAGCCCCAGGGTTCCAGGTGCCTCAGTTTCCTCCCCTGGAGGCCTGGCTCAGTACCTGGATCCATGACTCTCTGTACTGGAGGTGGAGGCTGAAGAGAAATCTCCATGGAGCACGGGAGCACCCCCAGGTCCGGGGCGGCATGGCTGGGGCTCCCCGGGGCGGGGGGCTGCTCCTCTGGGAAGAAGCCTGGGACCTGGAGCAGGGCCTGGGGACGTCAGGGAGAGAGGAGCAAGGACCAGGGTGAGGACCCCATCTCAATCACCCGACCCCTATGTGCAGGCCTTCCTGGAGTTCAGGACCATGATTGCCTCGCATGCCCACCCCCAGCCCCTTTCCCCACAGCCTCCTCGGGGTCCCAGGAAGAGCTCCTTCCCGCCAGATGCCCGTGGCTCACGCCGGTCAGCCCACCCACTTGGGAGGCTGAGGTTTGGAGGATCGCGTTTCAAAGCCAGCCAGAGCAGGAAAGTCCATGAGACTCTCATCTCCAGTGAACCACCACCAGAAAAAGCCAGAAGTGGTGCTAGTCTTGAGTGGAAAAAGCTCGGGGATGGTGCTCAGGCCGTGAGTTCAAGCCCAAGGATAGGCATCAAAAAAAATAAATAAAAGCTGGGGTGTCTGCTCCCCAAGCATTCCAAAAACAGCTGTTAAGCTTTGTGTGCTGGTCCTGGGGTTTGAACTCACGGCCTGGGCACTGTCTGAGCTGCTTTTTGTTCAAGGCTGGGTGCTCTACCACTTGAACCATAGCACCACTTCCAGCTTTTTCCTGTGGTTTATTGGAGATGAGCGTCTCACGGACTTTCCTGCCCTGGGCTGGCTTTGAACTGCCATCCTCCAGATCTCAGCCTCCTGAGTAGCTGGGATGACAGGGGTGAGCTATGGCTCTGGGCTACAGGGCACAGATTTCCGGGCACGTCCGGGTGGTGTCGGGGCCTTTTGCGCATGGCAGACCTGGAGCAGCAGCCTCCCCTCGCCGCTGCTGCTGACCTCCTGGTAGTCGCTCTGGAGTGGGCGGGGCTCCAGGTCCGGAGCAGGTGGGGGTCCGGGCGGGGTGTCCGGTGGCGGGGCATGGTCCCGGGCTAGGGTATCTGGCGGCGGGGCATCAGGCGGCGGGGCTCTGGGCGGCTTCTTGGGGTGACTGGACGGCTGAGTGGGGATCCGGTGCAGGTAGCCGTAGCCCACGCCACACCCTAGACTGGGGGGGCGGGGGGGGGGGGGGGGGGAAGGCTGGAGCATCTCACCTCACCCAGCCTCACCCAGCTCTCTATAGAGTCCACATAGTATCTCATCTAACCACACAGTATCTCATCTAACTACACAATATCTCATTTAACCACGTATGTCATCTAATGAAATATCTAACAAAATATCTCATCTAACCAAGATCTAACCAAGTATCTAACAGAAGAGCTTAAGGAAGAATCTCCCTCAGCCAAGTAGCTAACAAAGTATGGCATCTAACAGACTATCTCAGCTAACTAAATGGCCAACCACCTCAGGCAGGGCAGGAAAGGGGAAAGGAAGGAAGCTGGAGGCGTGGCTCAAGTGGTAGAGCAGCAGCCTGGAGTTCAAGCTAAAGCCCAGGGACAGAGCCCGAGGCCCTGAGTTCGAGTCTCAGTGGCGAGTGCAAGGCATGAATAGCAGCAGCAAGGCAGGCACAGGGCCCACCCCCTCCACGGCCACCCCAAGTCCTCACCCCAGGCCTGCGAGTCCGGGACTACAGGCAGTACCTGCCTTCCCCGCCCCAGGCTGCGTTGGGCGTGACGGTGAGCTCGCGGCAGGCATCCCACTCGGAGTTGTACACCATGAGCTTGAGTGGCTTCCCCTCGTGGGACTCGATGAGCGAGAAGAAGTCCTCAGACTGCGTGGGGGGACAGGGAGGCCCGAGCTGCAGCTCCCTGCCTCCCCAGACGCCCGCCCCACCCCGGGGCCCCCCCCTCACCTCCTGGAGGATCTGATCCGAGCCCACCACGTAGTCAGTGTAGGGACGCAGACCGGCCAGGGCGGCCGGGGAGGAGGGTGCCACGTCCTAGAGGGGTTACAGTGACAGCCTCAGCCCTGAGGGGGGGAAAGGGGGTCAACCTCCCCTCAGCCCCACCCACCCACCCCAGGCACAGCACTGCACAGCCGGGCACTGGTGAGCACGCCTGGAATCCCAGCTACTCAGAGGCTGAGATCTGAAGATCATGGTTCAAAGCCAGCCCGGGCAGGAAAGGCCCAATGGGCCTCCAATGAGCCACCAGGAAATGGAAGTGGCGCTGTGGCTCAAGTGGTAGAGCGCTCACTTTGAGCTGAAGAGCTGAGGGACAGCGCCCAGGCCCAGAGTTCAAGACCCACAACCAACAACAGCAACAAAAAAAATAAGAATAAAGCATCATAAAAATAAGCAAAGTAAATAATACATTTAACAGCAAAGTAGTAATAGTACATTAATAACAACGACCAAGTAGGGACCCTCAGGGCCCTAAATTGAGCATCCAGGCCAGCATGAGGCAGGGTCGGCCGAGCAGGGAGGGAGCCAGGGAGGAACTGAGCGGGGCCAGATGGAGCCCAGGAGTTTTCTTTTGTGTCAGTGGTGGGACTTGAACTCAGGGCCTGGGCGCTGTCCCTCAGCTCTTCAGCTCAAGGCGAGCACTCTACCGCTTGAGCCACAGCGCCACTTCCGGTTTTCTTGAGTGGTTTACTGGAGATGAGAGTCTCACGGACTTTCCTGCCGGGGCTGGCTTTGAACCGCGATCCTCAGATCTCAGCCTCCTGAGTAGCTGGGATGCTAATAGATGGGCGTCACTGGCGCCTGGCAGAGCCCAGAGTCGTCTTTTTGACCCCACAGAAGCTGTCTGGCTGCCCATCCGGGACTCACCAGCACGTGCCACACCTGCTCGCTGGCCCGGCGGAAGCTGCAGAAACGCACGCTGGCCCCCAGCAGGCCCTGGCCGCCCCACAAGTTGCTGGGTACCACCTCCACCTCGCGCACGCGCATGGTCTTCATGCTGAACACCTCCAGCTTGACCGGCCTCTCCACGTTCGCCTTCAGCAGCGCCTTCAGCTTGTCGCTGCCCTTGTTCTGCATTAGTGGAAGGGGAGTGGGGGGGGGGGGGGGGATAACGGGGCGGACTTCTTCCAAGGCCCAGTCGGCCTGGCTTCCCCCGACCCCAGAGGCTGCAATCGGGAGGATCGCTGTTCCAGAGTCGGCCAAAAAACAGAAAACAAAAGCCTGGAGAGCAGCTCAGGGTCGCAGTGCCCCGAGTTCAAATCCCACAACTGACAGGTAGGGGGTTGGGGGGAGGGAGGGAAAGCGAGGCGGGGGCAGTGTAGAGCTGGGTCCTCCTGCGGGACAGACGGACACACTGGAGGGGGGGAGAGAAACCTCACCAGCCTCGAGTGTCCGATGGTGATGATGAAGTCGAAGTAGGGCTCCAGGCCGGCCTGCTGCGCGGGCGAGTTCTCCTGCACCTGTCCGCACACACCACGCACGGCTAGTCGCGCCCTCCTTTAGTCCCGGCCTTCCCACCTCTCCCAGGGTCCTGCGGGAGCAGACTCGTGCCCTGGGTCCAAGTCCCGGGTCGGACTCGAACCCGGGACCATCGTGTCTCGGAGCTCCGCCTCCTGGGGGGGCCTGGATGGCCCCGCGGCCTGGCCGCGCATGCGCACACGCACGCACACACACGCGCGCGCGCATGCGCGGCTCGCCCCGCGCCGGTGGAAGCCCCTCGGCGCCCCGCTGCCCAGGACGCCGCGCACGCGCACACGCGCCCGCGCACGCGCGCATGCCTGGCTCACCCCGTGCAGGTGGAAGCCCTCGGCGCCCCCGGCCGGCTGCTCGGCGCTGGCGCCCAGGCCCATGGCGGCCGCTCCTCCGCTCGGCGTCGGGTCGGCGCTCGACGGCTCCGGCCTGGCCGCGCCAGCGCGCATGCGTGTGGCGGCACTTCCGCCGCCGGTGACGTGAGGGCGCCAGGCGCAGGGCCGGAGCCACGCCTACTCACGCCCGGCGTCGCCTAGCAACCGGCGCCGGCGCGGCCGCCTGGTTGCCAAGGACGCGCCGGCCGCCGCAGCGCGTGAGCGCGCTGGACGCCCGAGCGAGCCGGCGTCGCCGCCCCTAGCAACCTGGTTGCCAAGGACGCGCGCGCACGCGCACTGTCGAGTCTTCCACCTCCGCCCCAGGACCTGGATTCCCCGCGATCGCGGCCCCCCGCGATGAACTGCGGCGACGCCTCCTCCTTCGTGGTGGGTGGCCGGCCCGGGGCTCCCCTCCCCGCACCCCCCATCCGCTCGTCCCTCCCCCGATCCCGCCCCGCGGGGCCCCACCCGTCCTGCCTCAGTCTACCCCATCCACAGACGCACTCACAGCTGCACACACGTCCGCACACTCCTGGACTTGCATCCGATGCGCCTGCACACACACTCACTGCTTTGTGATTATTGTATTTTATTTGCCCGTCCTGGGGCTCGAACTCGGGGCCTGGGCGCTGCTGCCCCTGGGCTGCTTCTGCTCAAGGCTGGCGCTCTACCGCTTGAGCCACAGCGCCACTCCCGGCTTTTCCTGTGGATGTGGCACTGGGGACTCGAACCCGGGGCTTCATGCGTGCTAAGCGAGCACTCTACCACCGAGCCACCTTCCCAGCCCCTCCCAGTGCTTGCTTTGTCCCTTTTGCAAAAGGAGCCCTGATCCCCCCCTCCCTCCCTCCCTCTTCCCTCCTCCCTCCTCCCTCCTTCTCTGTCTCTCTCTCTCTGCACAGGCTGAGATCATTTATTACAGCCAGGAGCAGTACTTTAACCAGGTCCAGCAGACCGCGGCCCGCGGCTTGGAGAAATTCAGCGGCGACCCCGGGCTGCTGTTTTTCAAGGCCTATGGACTCCTCAGGGAAGGTACAGGCCAGAACTCCTTGTTTTTTTGTTTTGTTTTGTTCTAATCGTTTTAGTCGGTCCTGGGGCTTGAACTCAGGGCCTGGGCACTGTCCCTGCGCTCTTTTTGCTTAAGGCTAGCGCTCTACCACTTGAGTCATACATACATACATATGTATATATAGGGCACCATTTCTGGTTTTCTGGTGGTGAGTTGGAGATAAGAGTCTCACGCCCTTTCATGCCCAGACTGGCCTCAAACTGCGATCCTCAGATCTCAGCCTCCTGAGTAGCTGGGATGACAGGCGTGAGCCTCGGTGCCTGGGCCTACCTGTCCACCTCTTGCAGCTGGTGCTCCTGGTGCCAGCCACCATTACAACACACCTCCAGGCTTCGGGCTCCTTTCAGATCTGGGTGTAGGAAGATGGTGCCCGGCCTCTCGGCTCAGGCCTGGAGGCCCAGGCCCGCCTGTTGTTGGCAGGATGCGTCGGAGACGCCATCAGCGAGCTGGAGAACATGCAGAACCATCCACACCTGACCCTCTGCTCCGTCATGGCTCTGCTGTATGCCTACAGAATCCACCATGCCCACGGTGAGTCGAGCCACGCAGAGCAGGCCCACCGCCAGGCCCGCCAGCGTTCTGGCTCTCTCCCACAGAAGGCCTGGCGCCGCTCCCAGCTTTGGGGGGCAGTTCTCTATGAGAGATCCTCCGATCGCAGCCTCCTGAGTAGCCGGGATGGCAGACGTGAGCTACTATACTCCCTGGTGTGTGACCCCTTGGCCCTGTCTTCCCACCCTGGGGCGGGTAGATCGGGAGGCCATCCAGGATCTGGAGAGCAGCCTGAAGGAGCTTCGACGGCATGCCAGCCATGCCGCCTTCTACTACGCCGGGATCTTCCTGTGGCTCGTGGGCCGACACGAGAAGGCCCGGGAATACGTCGACCACATGCTGAAGGCCTCCAGCAACGCCAGAGAGGTACCTGCCACGAGGACCAGCCATGGAAATCCCCACGGCACCCCAAAAGGAGTCCCAGTTCTAGGCCTGTTGGGGGGGAGGTGGGGGCTCACACCCATCATCCCAGCTCCTCAGGAGGCTCAGATCCGGAGGATCGCGGTCCGAGGCCAGCCTGGGCCAGGAAAGTCCATGAGTCTCTGATCTCCAAGGAACTACTCAGAAAGCCAAGCTGCAGAGCGCCAGCCTTGTGTACAGAGGCCCAGGGACAGGGCCCAGGCCCCGAGTTCAAGTCCCGGGATGGGCATAAAATTAAGAGGGGGGGGGGCAGGTGGTGGCCTGAGTCAGCAGAACCCAGAGCTCTGTGTTCCCCCCTTATTCTCACCCAGGGCCTCATCCTCAAGGGCTGGGTGGACCTCACCTCCGACAAGCCGCACCTGGTGAAGAAAGCCATCAAGTATCTGGACCAGGGGACTCAAGACACCAAAGACCTGCTGGGGCTGATGGGAAAGGTGGGCGGAGCCACAGGGGAGAAGAGGGCGGGTTCCCAACGGAGTGACAGGAAGCAGGGACCTATCACAAGACCTCAGGCCTCCCCTTCTGGTCGATGAGGAGCCTAGGCCAAGAGAAGTCACCTCAGGGCCAGCCCAGGGTCACACAATGGCCCCCCCACGTCCACCCGGGACCTGGCTCCTTTCTGCTGAGGGCGCTCTACCACTTGAGCCACAGCGCCACTTCCAGTTTTCTGGTGGCTGATTGGAGATGAGTCCGCCCAGGCTGGCTTTGAACCGCGATCCTCTGGATCTCAGCCCCCTGAGTAGCTGGGATGCCAGGCGTGAGCCCCCAGCGCCCGGCTACTGCCTTCTGATTAATCTATTTGTTGCACTCTGCCTGGCTTTGGACACCAACACCCCCCTTCCCATTGACCGGATCCCCCACCACACACACACACACTCTGTTTTCCCCCCAAAAGGCAACGTACCTCATGATGCACCAGAACTTCTCAGGAGCCCTGGAGGCCACCAACCAGATGGCCGTGGCGTCCGGGGGCTTCCTGCCCGCCCTGGTCCTGAAGATGCAGCTCTTCTTAGCTTGCCATGACTGGGAGCAGACCGTGGAGACCGGACACAGGTAAGTGGGGTGCAGCTCACCAGGCCAAACACCCCCCCCACCATTCTCTTCCAAGCCTGGGGGTGCTGATAGAAAATCACACAGGTGGCGGGCACCGGCGGCTCACGCCTGCCATCCCAGCTTCTCAGGAGGCTGAGATCTAGAGGATCGTGGTTCGAAGCCAGCCTGGGCAGGAAAGTCCCTGAGACTCTGATCTCCACCAAACTGCCCAAAGGGGGGAAAAAAAAGCCAGAAGTGGTGCTGTGGCTCAAGGGGTCAGCCTTGAGCACAGAGAGGCTCAGGGGCAGCGTCCAGGCCCTGTCCCAGGACATCCCCCTCTCCCCCCACACACACACACAGTCCCCCAAAATGTAACGGGCCTAAAATGGCAGACAACACATCATAGTGTAGACGCCCTGGGTGTCCACCCAACCAATGAAGAGCCAGAGCGCACACGCCCTGTGTCCACTCAACCAATGAAAAGAGCCCAGAGCAGTGCACCAGCCGTGCATCAGCCATCGCCCAATCAGCGTGCAGCTCGGGAGTCGGGGGCGGAGCCTGGAGGTATATAAACCACCTTCCAGGAGGGCTTGTAGCCTGGTGGGAAATTTCTCCCCTTCTTTATGCTTTTGGTCACCTTTCAAACACACTTACTTCGTGACACACACGCACACGTGCGTGCACACACACGCACACCAAGCCCTCCGCACGCGCGTGGTTTCTCCTCCAGAATCCTTGAAAAAGACGAAAACAATATCGATGCCTGCCAGATCCTAGCTGTGCACGAGCTGGCCAGAGAAGGAAACCCCATCCTGGTAAGTGGGCCGGGCAGTAAATCATAGTAAATAAATAAACAGACAACCCTGGGTACCAAGGATTTCAGGAAAGCCCGGCTGGGGGCTCCTGCCTGTCACACTCACGTCCGTGTGTCCTAACAGGCTGCCAACTGCGTGGGAAATCTAATTAAGGCCCTGGAGACAAAAGAACCTCGAAACTGGAACCTCCACCTCAAGAAGATTCTCCCAGTTAGCAGATTGGTAAGAAGATGGCTCCTGGCCTCCGGCCAGTGGCTTCTTTCTGCCTTTCCCTCCAGGGGCTCCCGGCCACTTGTCGGCCAGCTCCCCGCACCCACGTGGCCTTCCCACTGGGGACCCACGTCCTGTGTCATCGTAGCCAGGTGCCGGTGGCTCACACGCAGGAGGTTGAGATCCGGAGGATCATGGTTCCAAGCCAGCCCCGGGCAACTGCATGAACTTGGAGCTCTACCACTTGAACCATGGCTCCAGCCCAGCATTTTGCCACTCACTTGAGCCACAGGCTCCACTTGCAGCTTTTTTTTTTTAATGCCAGTCCTGGGATTTGAACTCAGGGCCTGAGCGCTGTCCCTGAGCTGCTTTTTGCTCAGGGCTGGGCCTCTACCACTTGAGCCACACCTCCACAGGTGGCTTTTTGTTTTTTAAATTACTTCCTTGGAGAGAAGAGTCCTCTCAGAAGCATCTGGCTGGGTTGGCCTCCACCCGCGATCCTCCAGCCTCAGCCTCCGGAGTGGCCGGGATGATGGACGTGCGCCACCCATCCAACCCCTGTGTCCTCTCCCGCAGTGTGGGAGGCAGCAGGAGGTGGTCCACCTGGTGAGCAGCTTCCTGGAGCGAGTCTTCACGGCTGCGCCCACCTGCGGCCTGGCGGCCACGGAGCTGGGCTACCTGTACCTCCTGCAGAACCAGCCGAAGGAGGCGCGCACCTGGTACAACGAAGCCACCAAGCTGCAGGAGGACAGGATGGCGGTCCTGACAGGTGGGTGCGGGCGGGCGCTCACATGTCTGGTTTGGAACCACGATCCTCCGGATCTCAGCCTCCCTGGTAGAGCTGGCTGCTCACCCTCTTCGGCCTCCATTCTAGGGAATATCTGGTGCCACATCTTACAAGGGCAGCTGGAGGAGGCCTCACAGCAGCTGGAGTTCCTGAAGGAGGTGCAGCAGT